CGCGGCGATAATAATAGCTTCCGTCTTTATATTAAGAAGACTAGAGAAGTAGATATTAGTATTATTTAATAGTTCCTTAATAGTCGAATTTAGATAAGTATTTTTATTACTAAAGCTATTAATTTTATAGATTATCTTCTACGTAAGGACCCTTCTTAGTCTCTAGAATTTCTCTTAGTAAAACGTTTTCTTTTTAAATATAATAGAGAGCGTACTAATCTCGATAGTAGTATCGAAGTTTAGCGTAGTATTTACTAATTAATACGTCTTACTAAAGGAAAGAAGATAGTTATTAACCTTAATATTATTAACTCGTACTTTAGGAAGCCCTTTACGCTTATTACTATAGTTATTACTAATAGTAGCTAGCGTAATTCCGCTAATATTACGGCTCGACTTATACCTACTTAGACGAATAGTAGTATAGTCGCTAATACTACTTATAGAGTACTCTAGTCTAAGTTTAAAGGTATAATTATTAAAGTAAGTTACTAAGCTAATCTACTATCTAAGAAGGTATAGAAGATCTATAAATTTTCTACTAATAATTCTTATTAGGAAAAGCTTAAATAGAAGGATTCTAATATAAAATAGTCTACTAGAAAAATACTTTCTATCGCTTAATACTTTAAGCGTAAATATACTATTACTCTATAATTTCCTAATCTTCTATTAGTTAAAATAACGAAGAGAAATATTAAGTATTCTATAGAGTTCCTTTATATTTAGAACGATTAGCGCTATAATACTAAGTTAAATAAAATTTAGACTACTAATATAATTAAGCTTACTATTTCTTCTCCTACTACTCGACTTAAGACTATTAATAAGGGTAAATCTTAGCTTAACTAGAAGAATAACTAATACCTTAAGAACTATAGTCTTAAGATTAGTTCTTAGTATACTTAAACTAATACTCGTATTCTTCCTCTACTAGGTATTAAATTCGGTAATAGGATCGAGTAACCTAGAACTAAAGGCCGTCGGAATCTTAAGGGTAAAACTTTTCTCGCTAGTAATTCTACTAAATTTATAGTATAGGATATCGAAGATTTTCCTAGTCGAACTAAGCCTAATAAGGTATAAATCGATAAGTTTACCTTAGACTTTATATAAGCTTATCGTAATTATTCTAGTAGAGTAGCTAACTTACCTCTCTATATTCGTATATTACTAGCCGATACTAGTTAGAACGTTAAGATCTTTTATTAAGAGATAGGTAATAAGTTCTAATATCGTCCTTAATTACTTATCTTCCTAGTTTAGAATAAGTAGTTCTTTTACTATCTTCGAATTAAAAAATCTTATAATTATCGATTTAGTATCGTTTTATAAGTTATATAGATTTAATAAGTATTAAAAGATAATCCTTAATACTACTCGAATATACTTATAAAGGTTAATACTAAACTCGGCGATACTACTTCTTAAGTTCTACTTTATAATATAAGTAGCTTTAAGGCCTTTAGTATTCTAATAATATTAATTAGTATTAATATCTCTTACGTATCGCCTAGTAGTTAATAAGCGTCTATAGCTACGCTTACTATATTTTTTAATCGCTTTAGTAGTCGTTATACTATAGTATATTAAACTAATAGTTATCGAGTCGAGATAATTTCTTTAGCTAACTAGTATAATATACTTAAACTATTTATAACTTAATAGATAAGTTAGGTTAGCGGTAGAAAGCTTCCTTAGTAGGTTTACTATCTTCGTAATAGTATTTCTAAGGACTAGTTTACTTACGTTTTCTATTAAGAGGTTCCTAAGATTAAGGCGATCCTAAGTAGAATTACTAAAGATAAGTAGAATAGTAAGATTATAGTTATTATCGTATTAAAGCGCTATTATATTCGAGCTTTTCCTATTAGTAAGGATACTTCTAATTAAAAAGGTAATCTTCTCCCTAACTATCTTATTAAGCGAGATATTACGATACTTAATAAGTTTAACTTTTATTTCTATTTATATATTACTCTTTAGGATACTTCTCGATCTATCTATTATACTATTCTTTATAATAATATTAATTATCGTTCTAAAATAATTTAGAATATAATCTATAAGTACTATTATTAGTATATATAGTCTACTACTTTCGTTTCTCTTTATCTTACTATATACTATATATATATTACTTCTAATTATACTAAAGTATATAAAGATATTATATTATTTTAAGGCCCTTAAATAGGTTTCGATTTTAAGTAGAGTTAGGCTAGAAGTCGATCTTCGAAGCCTAGCGACTCGGAAGTAAAGCTATTAATACTTTTCTTTAATATTAATCTATCGTAATTACTCCGAAAGTATTACTAGCTTTACGACGAGAATAGCTAACTTTAGGTACGACTAAATATAACTAAATTAAACTAAACGAATACGTAATACTAAGGTAATAGGTAAAGGAAGTAAAGTATTAACTTTAATTAAATTCTATCGTTCCTTATCTTATCTTCTTTCCTTAATTATAGCTAATAACTATAATTACCTATATAGTTAAAGTTAATTATTCTACTCTTTCTTTTAAAAACGCGTCGAGCTTACCTATAGTTAAGATTACGCTAGTTTATAATTATCTACTATCTTCTTAAGCTTTATACCTACTCTCTCGGCTATCTTAATCCTATATTCGACTCTTTACTATTCTATACCCTATAGTCGTTATAGAACTACCTTTAAATCGTAAGATATATACGACTTATAAACTTAGAAAAGCTAAAGTCGAGCGAGTAATATTAAAATATACCTATAAGGAATATATTAAGGCCTACGAGGAGCGAGTTAAAGGAGAAGGCCTAATAGGAACGATAAGAAATAAATTCTTTACTATAGCCTATAGTATTAAATAGATAGTTAGTAGAATTAAATAGAGTAAAGGTTTTAAGAAGTTTAGAGAATAGTAGAATAAAAAGCGATCGAGAATAACGCTAGCTACCTATCTATTATAAATAGGGAATCGTTATTATTTAATATTTTAGTATAATCTCGAAATATACGAGCGTAGTCTAAATACCTAGCTTAAAGTTATAAGAAATATAAGATATACGAAAATTAATATTATAGTTAAGATACTTATAGTAGAATTAAAAGAAAAGTTCTTACTTATCGCCGTCGCTACGAATCTAATACTACTACCTATATACTCGGTAAATAATTATAGAAGAGCTTAGATTTAGAAGATATTATCTAAGAAGATATACGATATATAGATAGAGCTATATAACGACTTCTTAATTAAATATAAGACTAGAAAGCTCTTTATAGAATCGACTAGTTATTTATATTATTCGTCTAGAAATAATAGCCTAATTTAGGATTTAGAAAATTTTAAGCTATAGTAGGAATAGTCTCGTCTAGGAACTAGTCTATCTATATTCGAATTAGAAGAATACTATCGTTACTATAAAGGAAAGTATTTATTTAATACGAAATTTTAGCGCTATAAGAAAGAAAAGCGTATAAAAGCGAAGGATAGAAATAAAGCTATATATAAGTAAATAGTAGAGATAGTAAGGTAACTATTCGCCTAGTAAAATAACCGAGAATAAGTAGAATAGTAAAAGTATAGTTATTATTATATCGAAGCGCTATTATATTCGAAGCTTTTCTATTAGCGAAGATATACCTAACGATAGATAGTCTTAATAGATAGATAATACTAGTTAAGTATTTATAAAAGCTAATATAGTAAGTAAGACCCTTCCTTCCTTTAATTTCCGTCTTTACTATAATAGAAGCTAGTATTAGGTACGACTAGAGATAATAAAACTTAAAGAGTACGATATATTTAAGTATAGCTAGAAATAATAAAGTACGACCTATATAAATACGGCTAGAGATAATAAATCCTAGAGAAAGTACGACGTATCTAGGTACGGCTAGAAATAATAAAACCTAGAGAAAGTACGGCGTATCTAGGTATAGCTAGAAATAATAAAGTACGACGTATCTAGGTACGACTAGAAATAATAAATTCTAGAGAAAGTACGACGTATCTAGGTACGACTAGAAATAATAAAATCTAGAGAGAGTACGACGTATCTAGGTACGGCTAGAGATAATAAAACCTAGAGAGAGTACGACGTATCTAGGTATAGCTAGAGATAATAAAACCTAGAGAGAATACGGCGTATCTAGATACGACTAGAAATAATAAAACCTAGAGAGAGTACGACGTATCTAGATATAGCTAGAGATAATAAAGTCTAGGTATAGCTAAAGATAATAAACTCTAGGTACGACTAGAGATAATAAATCCTCGAGAGAGTACGGCGTATCTAGGTATAGCTAGAGATAATAAAGTACGACGTATCTAGGTACGACTAGAGATAGAGAGAGTACGGCGTATCTAGGTATAGCTAGAGATAATAAAGTCTAGGTACGACTAGAGATAATAAAGACTAGGTACGACTAGAAATAATTAAACCTAGAGAGAGTACGGTATATCTAGGTATAGCTAGAGATAATAAAACTTAGAGAGATATAGTACGTATAGGTATACTAGCTATTAAACGAATTAGGAATTACGTACTTAAAACGATAGAATAGAAGGGCGATAGAGGGTTTACTATATAGACTATAGAAGTATAGGGAAAATATTAATTATATATAGTAGTATAGGAAAAATATCGATTATAGTGTACTTATAGGGTAGAAAATAGTTACTGTAAGAGCTTAGTTATAATATATAAGCGTAGGGAAAACTATCCTTACTGTACGGTAGCCCTAGGCTCCCTAGGCTCCTATAGTAAATTGAGTTGCGCTGGGCTACGGGCTAAAATACCGATAAAGTAGTTAAAATACTAAGTCCTAGCTCTACGTGAAGTAATATTAGTAAGAATATAATTCCCGATTAATAGTTAACATCGAGGAGGAAGACCGATCTTTATGTAGCCTATAATGTCGTTTAGAATTATACTTGTATCCGGTATAAAGTCCTCACTAGTCCTTTAGCTAGGCTTATAGGGCCCGTATATTGAAATTCAGAGGTATCGAGTCTAGACGGCACCCTTCTGCAGCCTTTCTACAATGTCGTCCATTGCAATATATGAGAATAAAACCGCAGGGCCCAAGGTAGCTCCGGGACCCGCATACCTTGTTCCCATGATACTAGCAGTGACATTCCCTGCAGCATAAAGCCCTAGAATGGGCTTACCATCCTCCTTTAAGACACGCGCAGACTCGTCCGTTAAGAGGCCACCTTTCGTTCCTAAATCCCCGGGATAGATCCTAACCGCATAGAAGGGTGGCTTAGAAATCGTGCCTAGATTAGGATTCGGTCCGTGTTTTGGATCGCCGTAAAAGTTTTCGTATGGGTTTAATCCGCGCTTAAAATCTTCATCGATACCATTGACCGCAAATCCGTTGAATCGACTGATAGTCTTCTCTAGATTGCCAGCGTTAATATTAATCTGTTTCGCCAGTCCAGCGATACTATCATCTTTATAGACAGATCCGTTTTCGAGAGCCCATTTTGGCGTTTGGCGAGGAGGAAATCGGGCAAGCATGTATTTGTTGCGATGATTTTGATCAAGGATAATCCAGGAGGGTACCGCCGAGGTGGTTTCGTTATGCTTGTTCATGATATTCCCAAAATCATTATAGCATTGCGATTCGTTCACATAACGCATCCCGTTGCCGTCAACGATAATGGAATGAGGAAACGAACGCACTGACAGGTCGAAGACCGGAGTTTCGCCCATCATAATTACTGGCATCCACCATGCTTGATCCATCATGTCGACGGCTGCGCCGACTTTCTGCCCGGCTGTGATAGCGTCGCCTTGATCGCCTGGTGCAGCAATGCTCCACTGAGTATTTCTACCTTTCTTCTGGAATTGTTCGCGCATAGCCGAATTCTTACCGAAACCTCCGGCTGAGAGTAAGACTCCGTGTCTGGCCCCGAGCTTTACTTTTTTTCCATCTCTTTCCACCAGAACTCCAATTACCGTACCATTCCCGCTAGTAATTAATTCGATCAGGCCGCTACCTCGCCAGATTTCTGTTCCTTGTTGCTTATTAAGATATAGTAGTTGACCAATTAATGACTTCCCAAATGTCCCCGGCGACTGCCCAAATAAGAATCGGAGAGCGGTTGTAGCCATAAACCAGCTTGCCTTCCTAAAATCTTTTAAGGAGGAACCCATGCGATATAGATGCGGGACTTGTTCAGTGTGAATAGCTGGAGTTGGCTCTTCCGGAAGCCTCATGAGTTGTCGCCAGTCTCCGAGCTTTTTGAGGTTGAAAACCTGTCCTTCGACGCCTCGGCCAAAGGGTGTAGACCCGGGCTCTAGGCAGTGGTAGTCAGAATATCCCCGAGAAGCGTGCCACTTGAAGCCAATCTCTTCTAAGAACTTCACCATTTTTGGACCCTCGTTGATGTATGCCAGTTTCCTCTCTCTTGTGCTTGAGCGCGTGTTCGACGGCGTAAGGGCTTCTAGATACGTGAGGGCCTTCTCTGCACTATCCTCTAGACCTGCTGCTGTCGAGACATGATTATTTGGTATCCAGAGCACACCTCCAGAGTACACACTAGTTCCACCGATTTTAGGCGTCTTTTCGACAATCAGTGGTTCCAAACCCCGAAATTTGGCGCGGAGGGCAGCAGTGAGGCCACCAGCACCCGACCCGACAATGATTACATCAGAAACCTTATCAAAGTCTTTTGTCCTTAGAGTTGTTTGAGAAGTTGACAAAGCAGCTGAACAATTCGACCTCCAGGTCACCGCAGGTCGCCAACACAAACCTGGACGAATAGACCGGGTTACCAGCCGATGGAGGTTTATGGCATTCGTGGAGGGCTGCATCTGGTATGCTTCTTCAACAATGAAAGTAAACGGTGAGACAGAGCCAAAAATAATTAGGCCGGTTAGGTCCTCTTGTGCTTTTAACAGAACACGGGTTAAAGAATGTCTTGCAGAGTGGTTTACATTTGAATGCTAGCCAGGTTATTTCCTCGGATGTTGGGCAAAAAGGCTGGGGCTTGCGTACTCAATTTGAAGAATCTGGAGAATCGCCATGATCATCATATCTTTCCAAATAGGTTACGGCTACGATAACCGGAGTATTTCTGAGAGCCACCCCTTAAATCTAGGGGTCATCAAAAGCCACTATATCCGGCTTGGCATGGCGGTTTAATCTTGAGCCTTTTCGCGTAGATTAGAGGGGCTTGCTAAAAAAAAAAGATTACGGGTGGAGAAAGAGAGGAACAGAGAAAGAAACCATCATAACTAACGCCGAGGACGCAGTCAACTGGGAACTTCGAGAGCACTCCCAGCCAAGGCAGAAGTAATGAAAAATCTGGCCATGAGCGCACTAGAATACATTGGGCCCCATATCGCCCAGACCTTTTGGTCACAGGGAAGCGACTGCAACGGATTAGTGCGCAGTGAGAGTACCAGGAAGAATCTAATAGCCAATGGAATTACTCTCATCGAAGGCAGCTAGGACTCCATCGATCATTTGATAAAACTGCTAGACAAATTCGAGACTCTTATCTTTATAACCACGACTCCGTGTCAAGATGAACAGTAGAGAAGAAAGTATTTTCTTAATAGGCTACTAACCCCTCTCGGACTTTCATTATTATCTCGCAATCTAGCGTTATTTAATCTCAGGTCTCGAAGGATAATGTCTACCCTTTTAAGTCTATGTTACGAACTCTTAAAGGTAAACTAGTAGTTGAAACTAAAATTATGAATATAGCGAAGAGAGAGTTTTATACGTTAGTTATTCGACCTCCGCTTATTAAGAACTATATATAAAGTATTTAAGTTCTTCAGTTGTAAAAGTCTGTTTCCTTAATGTAGACCGTCTACTATCTCGTATAAGGATTACGTGTCTACTCATATATTTATATCGATAACGTTGCGATCGCTACGTACTTTGGTTTCGAGAAAGGAGAGTCAAGTAACGTACAGTATGTATTGACGGAAGACGTAAGCTTTCGCACGATTAAAAAAGCTATTGGTGAAGTTACTGGGTGTCCTAAGCGGAGCCTCGATTACAACGAGGCCACCAACTTATAGGGATATCCTAGGGCAGAGATCGGCCTCGCAGTCAATAGCCGTATACGTACACCCAAGACTCGATCACAAGTAGGTTGGAAGCCAGCGACGTCATAATACTTACTAAGCAAGGCGTTTTACCGAACATCGTACAGTACGACCATTGTGTAGAACATCGTGTCCGGAAGCGGTTCCACTCGTAGCCTGAGCTTTAACGAAGCGGTTAAACTTTACAGAGCTGCCTAGGCTGAAGTTGGCCTAGCAGTCAACAGCCGCTTACCTACATCGAAGATCCACTCCGTACTAGACTAGAAGCCGACCGTTGTCGATCCAATTGGGTTCTTACAAGGATGTATACGCGGAAGCTAAGAGAAGTGGCAATCTTCAGAGCTACACTTGGAAAGTTTAATGACAATAAATATAGTTTAGACTAAAAAAACTAAAAACTTGTTGTCCTTAGATGATATGTCCGGGTCTTGGGACGGCCTAGGAGTAATGGGCTAGATATAAGGGGGGAATGTTGGGGACCCGGGGTCTTCGGATATAGTGGTATTAAGAAACAGAAGATCTTGTCTACGCTAGTACAGAATGAGCTGGGACTAAAGTTATGCATTGATCGATATCGTACTTAGCTAGCGAGTCCTCTGAGGGCCCTTCTAGGTTTCCCAGCTCGATGCAGTTAATTAGTTCTAGTATTAAAACATCAACCTTCCAGGTATAAGCCAAAAAGAAATCTTTGCCTGTTCACAGCTGGCTCATTAAGATTAGAAAGGAACGATGTTTTCTTGTCCACAATGTGGCAAAGCCTACGCAACACAGAATTCTTTAAGCAGACATCTTAATAACCACTCGGTACAAAAAAATGGATACAGATGTCCCACATGCGACCAAGTATTTTCACGGCGAGATATAATGGTACGTCACAAGGCCATCCACGAAGATGTTCTAGGTGCCACCAGACGCAGGTGCCACACTGCTTGCGGCCCCTGCAGAACTTCACATCAAAAGTGTAATGGAGCAAATCCGTGTAATATTTGCCATATGCGGAAGCAACATTGTACATATGAACTGAGGTCTCGCAGAGTAAGCCAGCCTGTTGGCTGTACCACCGGTGTCACAGAGACTGGAAGTCGTCCAGTTGGAACGAACAGCGAGGCTCCTCACGAGAATCATGGAGAACAACATGCCGTACCAGAGCCCAGAACCTCATTGGGTTCACCATTGTCGGGAATAGATAACACACTATATCAGCCGACGGAATCCGACCTCTTCGAGGAGACCGCAAACCAGCAGAGGAGTTATGTGACTGACATGATGAATTCTGGAAGTCGCTTGGTCGGAATGAATAATGGAACATCACCGGATTACTTGGACATGATTCTGCCAGATTCACCGTTGTCGGGAATAGATAACACACTATATCAGCCGACGGAATCCGACCTCTTCGAGGAGACCGCAAACCAGCAGAGGAGTTATGTGACTGACATGATGAATTCTGGAAGTCGCTTGGCCGGAATGAATAATGGAACATCACCGGATTACTTGGACATGATTCTGCCAAACTTGCCGGAAATGCTGATAGAGGATGATGCGCTTCTCCAGGTCCACCATGGATTTCAGAGCGCAGTTACCAGTAATTCTGAGACAGCGCTGTGTTCAGGAGCAGATAACATCCTCTATCAACTGGCGGCGCCCGACTTCTTCCCTTGTTCATTTAATTCACCCGACTCTGTAGCCGATGTCCCCCTACCAGAATCGTTCATCGCGAGAAACGAGAACAGAGATATATTTCAAGAATCACGTCAGTCTCTGGCCATTCATCAGACAGACGAAGGGCAGCAGACACCTGCGATAAATGCGTCTCTTGCCTGTGGTGACAAAACCGCAAGCTCAAGCAAACCCTCAAGCAGTGAGCCACGAAAGAAATGGCGCTCTAACCAGAAGGCTCTCGTGAAGGAACTTGTTAATTATGCTATCACAGCAGCCGATATACAGCCAGGTGAACGCCGCCGCAATTGGGAATCCGTGTCGACCGAAATACACGCGGTGTTCAGACTTCCCAAGTCACAGAATTCCGAGGATTGTATATTGTTTCAAATGGTCCACTTGTACAAAGAGAACCTTCTTCCACTGTGGCCCATGATATGCGAAAAAGACCTAGAGGATCCTTCAAACCTGCACCCAGTCCTTTTCTTGGTCGCAGTATCAGCCGGAGCCATGTATCTTGATCAAAATGCAAGTGTATTTGGCAAAATGATGCATATGTGCTTACGAACCTCTTTAATCACATCGTTTATCGAGAAAGAAATCACGGAATTGGACACCATTTGGCTCGCACAAGCCAGAACCACAATTCAGGTTGTTGCTTTATACTTTGGCCAAGGGCTCGAACTCACTTATGCCCAACACCTAGGTGCAGTGCTAGTCACACAGTCCCGGCGCATGAATTTGTTCAAACGAAGTGTAGCGGAAGAGTTTTCCGGTGCAAGTACTCCTGAAGAGCAAATCGAGGCATGGATATTAGCAGAAACGAGGAGACGAGTGGCATTCGGTATAGTTCGAGCAGATGTGTTTCTAAGTCTACTGCTGAACTGCCCTCCAAGTATTTCAGCGGACGAATTGGAGATAGGTCTTCCATACCCTGATCATCTATGGTTGTCAATAGGAAAACTATCTCCCCAGGAACTACTCGCAGCCCTCGAACGCGAGCGAATGAAGAGAAATGAAACTCTATTCTGCGATCTTATACGCATCATATTGGATCATGATGAAGCTCTATTGAATATGGAGCCAAGAGATTACGAATTAGTTCTCTTTGGTCTGCAACAACAAGTGTGGAAATTCAGCCATGATCCCGATATGTTCCAGCGGCTGATTGGACATCCGTGGCAAGAAGAAGGGTTTGTAGAACCACTGGACATGGACATAAACCTTGTGTTTAGTGACTCTGCTGTGCAGCCTCGGGATCATCTTCAAGTCAGCCACCGAGAGATGAGGGATCTAGTACTTGACAGAAGGCGACTCTCCAAGGCTCTCGAGAAATGGACTCAAAGTTTCAATGCAAGCAGATCCCGTCCTGGATTCAATAAGGACCGTGCAAGTATACTGAGTAGTCTCCTACTATTTCATATCTACCATCTTCAATTGAATGCTTGCTTGGATGTTCTTCATCATATTGCAGACAGACGCTGCAATAAAATGAGCATTGATCATAAGAGGCTTCAAACAGCTATTCGTTGGGCTCACAATACGCAAGCCAGGAACGCGGTTAATCACGCCTCCAAGATATTGTCATTGCTAGAAAACGAAGCTCGCCTCAATCCATATAAGACGGCGCGTTACACAGTTCTGTCTTTCATAGGGTTGTATCATTCATCTGTCGTTCTTTGGACATGTTTCGGAGCTAGCAAGCCTAGTGGGCAGCTATCGTTCGTACCATACAACGATATACCGAATGATTATCATTACAGCAGGTCTCATGAAATTTTGATGAGCATTGTGTTCCTTTACCAGAGATTGAAACGCATGAGTTGGGATACTTTTTCGGGCTCTGTAAGAAGACTGTCCTGTCACCACTTTCCACGAGATCATTCATGATTGTCGCATCTTCAATGCATAGTTTCAATGAGGAGACATAAATCCGTATTAAAATTATAAGGATTTAACTAATTGTTATAAATCTAATTTTGCAATCAATCTTTATACTAACTGCAAGATAAACCTCTAGCTATGTACTTCAACTTCTCTCGACCAAACCCGGCTCAAAAGTCTTAGAGAATTACATATAATAGGATGGTGTGAACTCTAAGAAGGTTAAATTCATCGGGTACTATGCTATAATCATCACCTCGAAGCCAGTATCTCTTCCAGTATCTCTTTCAGCACATTCTTTGGAGGGCGGCGAAAATCATCTGTAATCAACCCGTCAAGATCGGCTTAACGAAAAAGGCGAGCCCTTTAGATCCACGACGTAGCTGGTTGATGATGCCACCGTTGAACCACAGATCACGCTGTCCAGTGTGTGCCCACATGTTAGACCATTCACCTTCCTCATCTAACCTTGCCTCACCAGATTGTTCTGTGACATTCCCCCTGCGGTTCTGAAAACCGGTAGCGAGAACGATCAAATCAGCCTGAATGATTTTCAATTTTTACTACGCTGGGAACAAATTCTACAACGCGATGGTACGGCTCAACCTTGATGCCGGGTTTGATAAATGATCTCAGAGGTTAAATACTACCCGGGTTATGGGTAGAATATGGTGCACAATGGTTCCATGGTCTAAAGCCTTTATGCATTCCGACGAATTAATGACCTCGATTTCGAAGAACGAAAGTTCTGGTAATTTTGGAATCACCGGCCTCCCGCCTATGCCACCTGTTGCGAGGATTATGTCGCGGTTGAAGGACACGCGTTTGGCCGTCTACCATCTTTTTGAAAGTTGACCGACCACCTTCTCATTTCGTATTCATAGTATGCTTTGAGAAACTTGGTAGACGTCCGTATATTGAGGTCCAAATATTGTCAGTAGATTTCAAGCCATTGGCCCATAAGATCTTATGACAAATATTCAGGGTAATGCTTAGGGAATGGCAGATATGGTACATCGTTCATCTCCACAGGATTTTGAAGATTAAGAGAGTCGTAACACTTGTACCAGTTGTGTCTTACCCGTTCATTCTTGTCGATAATAAGTGGACTGATCCCAATCTGTTCGATGCGGGCAGCAACCATCGAGTCCGCTTGCCCTGATCCCACGATCAGCACTTCAGGCTCACTGTCGAGAGGTTGGGATTTCGGTGGGTGTTTAGAGGTCTTGGCAGCATGGGACCGTGCAGCTAATACTAGCGGCATAGATTGTCATGATATAGTACCATAAAGGACTTAGTGCGCGTTGGAAGGGTATCCGTCTTTGTTTCACAACTACGGACATTGGCTATCTCGAAACTTTAGAATATGTTCCCAGCGGACGCATAAAGAAAGATATTAATCAGGTCTCAGCGAAAGAACTAGAATTCAGAACTGCTGTATGAATTATTAGGCATGCTAGTGATGCGGCCAGAGGAATAGAGAGGAATCGGGCGCTACAGAACGTATTGACTAAGCCTAGAGCTACGAACATACTCAACAATGGGTGTGATGGGGCGTTCGATCAAGGACAGAATTTAAGGAGCAACAGAATCTTTGAAAGTAGCTAAAGGCTTGCCCTGGTCTTCTCTATTGATTATTCTGGCATACATTGCTTCCATTTATTAGATCTCTTGACAACACTAACTTTCCTATCTGACTGTAGATCATGGGTGAGAAAGCACTTACAGCCAACCATCCCAGGATTTATACACAGTGCTTCGTGGCCATCCAGATACGACACGTGGTATGTACAGCACTGGTCGAAACAACACCGATAAAGCCCCTGGTCCTTTAGAATGACCTATTATCTTGACCGCATATTTCAACTAGTTCTTTGCTCTTCATAGCGCGTGGTGGCTGCGTGTTTCCCAGCCCTTCGACCGGAAAAGATGCAGTCTGCAAGAGACAGGCCACTCAAATAGTTTCTGGAAGGGATGCCAACAGCATTCCGCCCAGCCGCATACAGGCCCGGAATAGCGTCACCCGATTTTGAGAGGACCAGTCCGGTCTTCCCTTCCACCTTTAATCCGCCCATAGTTATGGCCGGCACTGAATGCAGTAGTGATGGTCGGATGGAAACATCGATACCGTAGAATGGACCTTGGGAAATAGGCACACTGTATTTTCTTGCCTTGTGGAACGGATCACCAGTCCCACAACGGATGCCAGTGTTGTATGCGGCCACTGTGCTTCGGAGGCCTTCCGCAGAGATTCCTAGTTTCTGCGCCAGTAGATCTAGCGAGTTAGCCTTGCTATAGCCCCAGAAGAGGGTGTAATATGCTTGTGCAGCTGTGATGCGATGAAGTTCGTCTTTGAAGGTCTGTCTCGCCAGATTGAAGGTCGCAGAGTCTACAATCAGAAACCCCCTTCCGCCTGTCTTATTTGCCATGGCTTCCGTAAAGTGGACACCATACAAGTCTTCGTTGATGATGCGCTGGCCGTCCGGCCCAACTGCAATTCCTCGGAGGAAGGCCTCGGGCGGCGAAAGAAAGCGCCACATGGCCACATTCTCCATGTGAGAGACCTGACCACCGACCTCTACCCCTAGGCGTATACCAGAGCCGTCATCGCCTTTATTGCCAAGGGGAGATGTTCCTTCTGCCTTTTTGTTATACTGCCGTACCATGTCTTGGTTAAAGACAAAGCCGCCGGCAGAAAGGACAATCGCGTTTGTCTCAACGACGTGAGGCTCGGCGGTGCGATCCCATAGCTTATCGGCATGGTTAGCCATGGCTTTTCCAACTGGCGGTACCCAATTCAACAACTTTGCTCCCACAGAGTTGAGCCGCTGATGCATCTTGAAGCCTCGCGCTGTCTTGGGCATGACCCGATATTTCAAACCCTTCACACGACCATCCTCAACCACGACTTGATCGGCGCGGGCTAGCGGTAACATCTCTACCCCTAGTTCTTTGGCCCTTTGAGTCAGAGCAGCCCACAACGTCGCACCAGATGCAAGATGGGGGGCGAGTGTTCGATGGCCACGCGGCACTGGGAATGCGGCCTGGTTATAGGGGTACGCTTCTTCGTTGCCAGAGTAGTAAAGATAGTGCCTTTCAGCTGGATACCCAAGCTTATGCGGAGAAAGTGATTCGGAAAAGCGGGCACCGCACTTCTCGAGCCAATCTAAGTTATCAATGCTGTCGTTACAGAACTTTCGCAGGGTTTCATCGTCGACAGCGCCTTCACATTCCAGCTTAAGATAGTTGAACATGTTTTCAGGAGTGTCTTCATAGCCCGCTGCCTTTTGATACTTGGTTCCTCCGCCAGCGTAAACTATTCCGCCCGAAAGCCTAGAAGACCCTCCGCCATGACCTTGGTCCATCAAAAGGACTGAGGCTCCATGTTCTGCCGCTGAGATTGCTGTCGCTGTGCCAGCCGCGCCAGCGCCGACGATGACCACATCATACTTGCGGGTCTGTGGCCCAGTTATCAACGCAACTGTGGAGGCTGACCTTAAGTACGCCGGGTACAAGAGAAGTCCCCTTTGGAGTTGTGGTCTGGATGGCGAGGCTGATTTCCAAGTTAGTGGGCATTTTCCAAAACAAAGTGATAACCTTTAGCTTTACCTGCAAAAGATCTGAGGCGAACGGGGATGTCCCCGGACATCTTGCAGCTTCGACATAATGCTCGTTGTACAGCTGAATTCATCATATCTTGAAATCTAATCTGAAGGAAATACAAGCTCCTAGGTGTGCCCAGTTTTTGACGGTCGATTGTGTCGTCGGTTTCGATTCCGCCTTGAGAGTGGCATTCATCGTAGAAGCAATCTGCTGATACGTCTTAAGTTTTGGTCGGCTACCATTCCTAGGGGAGGGCACTCTATACTCCTAGAAGCTAGAGTATGGTGTCTGTACAACTGCGGTTTCTGCATCACGTTGGTCTTCTAAAAAGAATCCACAAGGCAACAAAAGCCACTTTATCCGAGGAAGCTCTCCAGACTTATGGCGAGTGTCTAAACGCCTTGCTAAATTAGGCTACTCTTATCCCTGGTGGGATTTCCGGCGGGGCTTATCCATAACTATCGGTTATGAGGGGGTGCGCCGCGCCCTGCGATGGGCGCGATTCGCCCTAGCCCGGCCGTAGCTGGGTCTTGGCGCCGCAAGCGCTTCAGCGGCGGTGTGGCACCCCCTGTACGCCCGTGGGAAGGCCTCCGCGGGCGTGTTTCGGTGTCGCTCCGGGGGGTCCCACGGATGGCTGCGCCCGCCAAAATCTATTATGCAAGTGGTGGACTCCATGCGGAGTAGTCAGTAAGGCCCTCGTATCCCATGGGTCCGCAGGATGTGCTCGCAACTCACGAGAGCCACCTTTCCCGCGAGAACTCTTCTGCCAGGAAAATACCCAAAAGGACAAAGCTCCAGATGGGGTGGCGCACAAAGCTGGCATTTATCATTGGGGTAGAAAGGACTCACGAATGTACGACAACATCTTTCCCAAATTGTTCGTCTCCCTTTCCTCGTCCACATTACCAGCATCGAAACCACCATGGGCAGCATCCAGCCTGACTACTTTCCACCACCGCATGACTTCGACCCACCGTCTAACTTACGCCCGAGCCTTTACGGTTGGAAAAACACTTCGGAAACTGGATACCAGATCGACGAAACCCCTTCAGGAGTCAAGAAGCCTCTGCGGGTGATTGTAGCCGGCGCCGGAGCTTCAGGCATTAGTTTCGCCAAGTTCGCACAAGATCAGCTTGAGAACCTCGATGTTACTATATATGACAAGAACCATGACGTTGGGGGCACTTGGATCGAAAATGTGTACCCGTAAGTTACTTTCGTTGTGTGTGTGTGAGCGCAAGCGGGACGGAGAAAGATATGATCTTGATCTAATCTCTTACGTTACTATTTCTTGGTCATCTAACGAGCCTTCAAGTGGTGTCGCTTGTGACATCCCTAGTGTGACGTATCAATTCGGGTGGGAGCCTAAGGCATGGACGAAATATTACTCCGAGGTACGATACAACTCTTTGAAGCCTCTATATTAGCTAAATCAGACTCCTAGGGCCCGGAGATCCTACAGTATATGACCGATGTCACCCACAAATACGGCCTAAGGAAATACTTTAAAGTTCGACACAGTATAGACAAGGCTGAGTGGGATGACGGAATAAGTAAGTGGAAGGTAGACGTTACCGACCTCGAAACAGACAGATCGTTCCAAGACGAATGTGATGTCTTTATCAACGCTACTGGTCTCTTGAAGTAAGTGTCCCATACACATTGGTAACTCGATCATTTGACAACATAACTCACTTGCCCTAGCAACTGGAAGTTGCCCGACGTTAAAGGTATCAATCAATTTAAGGGAGTTGTAGCCCACACAGCGGCCTACCCTGCTAGTCTCGACTTACATGATAAACGTGTTGCCGTCGTGGGCACCGGTTCCAGCGGCATTCAGGTGATCACGAAGATACAACCTCAAGTCGAGAAATTATACACTTGGATTCGGAGCCCTACGTGGATGACCGTTGGCTTTGCTCAAAAGTACGCCGGCCCCGATGGCGGAAATTTCGAATGTATGTACTATACTCTTTGGTTAGAGCAGTCTCGATTCTTCTACTAACTATTATATAGATTCAGAGGAAACGAAAAAGAAATTCGCCGAGGATCCAGATTGGTACTTGAAGTATCGCAAAACTATCGAAACTGAGTTGAGCGACTTTATGTTCGTGCATAAGAATACGCCGACTAATCTTGAGGCACATAAGGTGAATTTTCTACTTCCATTCTCAAACAGCCGCTAACTCAGACCGTATAGTTTGCAGTCGAGGATATGAAGCAAAGGCTAGCATCCCGGCCAGATTTAATTGATACCTTGATCCCAAAGACCTTTTCAATTGGATGCCGAAGACCTACGTAATTATGATTAAATGTATAATGTCAAGGTAATAGGCTAACTGTTTGCTTTAGGCCTGGTAACGGCTTCCTCGAAGCCATCATCTCCCCTAATGTTAGCACTTATCTAAATAAAGGTCTTATGGAGCTCACTGAAAACGGTTTCAAAGATCCTGATGGGCACGAGCAACAAGTCGATGTAGTTATCTTTGCGACAGGATTTGACACTACATGGGTTTCCCGATTCCCTATTATCGCGAACGGAAAAAATCTGCAAGAAATCAATACCGAGAAGCCATTAAGCTATATCGGAGTCGCAGCACCAGAGATGCCAAACTATCTCACATACTATGGTCCTTACGGACCAACAGGTAGGCTTATCCTTCAACTATCGTATCTCGACAGATCTCTTGCTCTATATTGAGCGACCCTCAGCCAACGAAATCGAAAGACTCGGTCTCGATTTTATTTATCTCTAGCTTCCGTTCTAACTAACACTATACAACAGGCGTCGGTAGTGTCCTCCCTATGATCGAGCGCATGACACGGTATCATCTTTTATGGATCGAGAAGATGCAGGTTGAGCGGATCAGGAGTTTCACGCCCAAGAGGCAAGCCGTGGACGAATATAGTGAGCACGCAGACCTATGGCATCAACGCACGGTCTGGAGCGAGCGTTGTCGAAGCTGGGTAAGTGCCCTTGACACTTGTCTACCAGTCCAGGACAGAATTGACTTCTTTATAGATGAAAGGTGGGAAACTTGAGGGCAATGTTCTACTCTATCCTGGGACAAGGACACAACAGTAAGCAGGCTTGTAACTAGGCCATCGATTACACGAGCACTAATTTAGATTTTCAGAATGGAGCTCCTCTCGTCTCTTCGGCCAGAAGACTTCGACATCACCTATCGCAGTACGAATCGCTGGAATTTCCTCGGCAACGGATATTGTATGAGGGACCTTAACGGTAAGGACCTTACCTGGTACTTGGGTCTGGTTGACGGAATCGATAAGCAAAGGGATTACGCCTTGTAAGGACTGTACGGTGAAAGACGCCCGAAGATGAGAGCAGTCTGTCGCCATTGAAGGGGTGACGCCTCTGCTCTAAAACTTGCGCCTCAAGCTGTGTTGTCTGTGTCAATCAGCCTTGATCTATGTATATCGTTATTAGATTAGTTATGCTGCTCAGCGTGGAAGGGTGTTCCGGCCCGAGAGCCCTCCCCAAAGATACCATAATCTGCACATTGAGCTCTTCCGCATCTATCAGTCAACCTTGATTCCGGTATATATATGCTAGCTTGCCTATGCTAGTTAGTGTTGACGGGCTTTTTACTCTTATTACTTGTTTTGTCACCTATACACGAAAAGCCTGCACTTGATACTCGTTGCTCTATTGCCCTAACCGTCCAAAAAAAACTCCAACTAGAGCGATAGGTTTTTCATATCGATTTGTCCAAGGATATAATATCTCACATGCACGTGACAGAATGACGAAATTAGCCATGGCATAGAATATTATTCGTGTTTGTACCGTAAGCCGTATCTATATTTTTGTATAACCTCGAGTATAAGCTCTAGCGCCGCAAAGCTCCATTTTTGCCGTTGTTTAATCGAGAGCCGGTCGTGGCTTTACACATGCACTAACTTATGTATTGTATAAGATCTTTAGTCTACATATTACGACCTCTCTCTTCCAAGGACACACCGGGGAGGTAGGGTAAGAAATGAAGTGAGCAATCTGTGATATTCTAACTTTTACGACTTACGAAACGGGATGAGATGCCTGTTGTAGCGATGCGGATAAACGAAGCGATTCCAGACATTAAGTCACCTGAAGCAAACGCATCAAAGGTTGAGGATTAGCTCCGATCCACGCTCACGTATGGAGAAAATCTATCCGATAATTTATCTACTGCAAACCACATCTCACGATTATCCGTAGGCTCTTTGAACTTTTAATCCTGTAGACCTATCCACTAGATAGTTCTATAGATAGGTAATTCTCTTACCCACCTCTTTGGATAGGTAGATAGTTATACATACTTTTCTTATAGATTCTGGTTCCTTATGCTCTCGCCACACAGTGTACACTTGCAAAGCTTTGTCCTACATACCTATTGTCTAATTGGAAGAAAATCGTGTGAAACGACTCCCCAACTCAAAAGGGCAATATTCTGGCGTATTCAACTACTTGTAATTCGAATGCTGCACAGATGATCTTGCGCTCTCTGGCCTGCTATCTCATTTTTAGTGGCAGAATAAGGGCTACTTGTCTATGTGGGACTACTGGGGTCACGACGGTAGTTAAGTAGTCGTTGTGGAAGCAACCTGGGGGTTTGGCGGTTGCGTTGTCTCGGGCCACAGGCTTGTTGTGGCCTAAACGCCGCGCGACCTTGGGATTACATACCCATGTTGCGCTAATGTTTTCGTTCGGCAGGGAACTTGGGAAACACCAGAAACAGCACTACCCGTCTGTGGCCACCGTGATTAAAGGATTGTACAACTAATAACTCTCACGTTGGATGGCCAGAGCGCAGACTGCTTGCCAGCTCTCGAATACATTATAGCAGCGGCTTTTCATCGACGTCAGGATCAGGACCTTGCTTGCGTCACATTTCGCCCTTTTAGTGATTGCACTCTAGGTCGATCTTTCTTTACCCTTCCACGCGCTCTACGCAATGTAGTATAATCCCACGCGTTTCTCGCGAATCCGGTGCTGCATCCGCAAAAACCGACAATAGACCCCGTTTCCAAGGGCTGTGGTCGTTTCCTCGAGCATATTCCCCACAACCTGCCACTTTTCCCAACCCACTTGTCCGGAACAAGAGTCACTTCCACCCCAAAACAAGTGTTCGGCACTTCCGTGGCAGAGTATAAGCTACGCCCAAATAACTCAACACTACCACAGTAGCTGAACACCGACCTGCCCTGTGCGGTGCATTGGAGTATATACCTGCACACACTCGGATCGGGCAGCACAGCGCGGCACTCGAGGTATACATAGCCAAACAATTCAATCCATTGCACTGTATTAGTGAAGATCTGCCCTGTGAATGTACTGGAGGTCTATTCCAGGTAGTAGGAGGTGGCGACGTTCATGACGTGGTTGCCTGTGGTTGTTCGTCGGTGAACAGCAAACCCGAATCGGGAGCGTTCTCTTCTTTATATATACCAAGCGGTTGCCCATTGTATACGCCGTCCGAACTTGAGATCGCCAAGTTAAAGCTGGTTGGCGTGGGACATTCGCCGAGAGTGGTGGTGGTCGTCGTGGTAGTTGTAGTAGGTGGTTCGGTGGTCGTGGTCGTGGTCGTGGTAGTAGGCACCTCGGTTGTGGCTGATTCGTGTTGATTCGTGTTGATTAATATTAAAAGAGCGACTATGTAGCTAGAAGTAATGAGAGACAATCAGCTGTATAGGAGAAAAGACCAGCAAAAGGTGTCCATGACAGAGTAATATTATTGCTGTCGACCACTCTTGTGAGGCGCCGCAGAGCTGAGCTGAGATCAGAGCCCTAGTTATGCTTCGATCGCTGGCATGAAGATACCCTAGAGGAAGGCAGTTTTCCGATGCTCAACGAGTACACAAGAGGTTAGTACCGGTTGAACGCTAGCCGCACAAAACCCATCTAATCTCGATTTTCCACTTTCTGCCTCGAATTCGGAAGCCGTCATCTCCTGCTAACTAATTAACGTTACTCGCTTAGCTTAAAACGGGCCCTATAAGTACTATAAGTCTAGGCACCACGTAATGAAATACCCTAGTAACGAAATACGCGTTTTTACGCGTGCTAAATACTACTTCCTCCTCTTCTATATGCTACTACTCTACTAATCGATATATTTATACGATTAAATAGTATTAAATCGAGAGACTAGAATACTCTAAGCGATATTCGACTACTAAACTCGCCGATATACGAGTCTTCGCGCTACCGCGGCGGTATATAATATAAATTATATTAGTCTCGGCCGTCGACTACGAGGTAGCCTTTTACGAGTAATTACTTACGAACTATAAGTCTAGGCACCACGTAATGAAACACCCTAGTAATGAAACACGCGTTTTTACGCGTTCCAAATACTACTCCCTCCTCCTCTACATCATCCTACTCCACTAATTAATATATTTATATAATAAAATGGTATTAAATCGAGAGACTAGGATGCTCCAAGCGATATCCGACTACTAAAATCGCCGATATACGAGTATTCGCGCTACCGCGGCGGTAAATAATATAAATTACGTTAGTCTCGGCCGTCGACTACGAGGTAGTATTTTACGAGTAATTACTCGTAAACTATAATAGATATTATTAAATAAGTAAGAGTAAATACTTAGACGATAGATACTCGACCTTAAGGCGTAAGGATACTCTCCTAGTTTTACTTAAATACGAGATCTCGTTATAATTATTTAAGGTAATTCTACGAGGCCCTTAAGTATCGACTAAAACTAGATATTACGATTTATATAACGTTATTATTACGGGTTAAACCCGTATAAAGCTCTAGAGTACGCTCTAGAGCGATTACTCGTAGTATACCTTTAGGCTATATAACTATATAGCCGAAGCTATATAATTCCTCTCTATCGATTATCTCCTAGGAAACTATACTAACTTACTATAGGAGAGGCTAGGGAGTATTTCCTTTATTCGTATAGTAGATAGATTTTCTCTTTTCTTTTCTCTCCTTAGCTTTAGAATCCTCGTTATA